ACCCCTCCACCACCTCTCTAGCTCAAAGAAGCTCGATCCACCGTCTCCCGCAGCTCAGCCAGGGCCCTCGCCGCCCTGTAAGAGCGAGCTAGGGAAGGCAGAGGACATCATTAAGGAGATGGCAAAGGTGCACCCCGACGCGGTCGTGGTGCTGCCAGAGGCGCCGGCTGCTGGCCACTCGCGGCCCGTAGGAACTGGGGCCGAGGAGGAGGAGCCGCCGCCGGAGGCCACGGCGCTGACGGTGTGGCGCAAGTCACTGCTCTTCAACTGCGACGGCTTCACTGTCTTCGACGCCACCGGCGGCCTCGCCTTCCGCGTGGACTGTTACGGCACGTCCGGTCGCAGGCGCCGCCACGCGGAGGACGTCGTCCTCATGGACGCCGCAGGGGTCCCGCTCCTCACCGTGCGGCGTAGAAGGCTCAGCCTGGCAGAGCACTGGGTCATCTACGACGGCGACGGCGGCGAAGCCGACGCCCCGAAGGCGCTCCTCTCCGTGCGCCGCTGTCACGCCGGCTTGCTGCGCCACGCCCACGCGTCGTCGTCGTCCAAGCAGAAAGCGCTCGCGCACGTAACGCCTCTCACGCCGGCGTTGCGCGAGTCGTACGTGGTGGAGGGGTCGTACGCGCGGCGGTGCGTCGCGGTGCGGGACGCCCGCGGGGAGGCCGTGGTGGAGGTGCGGCGGAAGGAGTCGCCGGTGGGCGACGAGGTGTTCCGGCTGGTGGTGCCGGACCCTCGCCGCCTTGGCACGCCGCTGGCCATGGGGATCGTCATGGCCCTCGACGAGATGTTCGGCAGCTCCGGGGCCGGCTGCTCCACCGCTCGATCACTGCTGCCGAGGAGCTGGTCGATGTAGTTAGATGGATGGCATGGGGAAATATTTGAGGGCCCACTTGTCATCTACAATACAGTGTGCCGCGCACAAGGGAAGAACCACAAGCGCACACGGGCCATGCCACGAAATAAAAATGAATCTTGCACAGTTCCTGCAAAGAAAAATGAATCTTGCACAAGGAATTAGGATCACAAGAAATTCATTTTTATTTCCTCGAAGAAGAAAGGAGGAACATTGGGAGGAGAGCATCATGATCAGAAGGGTCAACAAGCATGTTTTAGTTGCCCCGCAAAAAAATTGATGATTTAGTTTGTACGTACATGTTGAATTGGATTTGTGAATACCTATATGGTGTTTGAGATTGCTCAGTAAATTTCTTATGAAAATGCTTTCAGACATTATTATACTCTCTTCGATCCATATTAATTATCGCTGATTTAGTACGATGAAGTAACTATTTCCTCAAAAAGTTTAGGTACTCCCTCTGTCTATAGGTGAATAAGTCATTTTAGGTTGTGCACCGTGACCAAGGAGGGAAAAATGAGAAAACTTAATGTTTATTTGCTAATTAATAGCATTGCATGCAATGAACTAATCACTGCATGTCGTGTTTGATAGTCTCAAGTCATTAAAAACATGCACACCCACATCTCTTATTGGTTGATATGTCAAGAAACAAGAAATGAGGTAGAAGTTAATGCACCGCGCCTAAGTATTTTTGGATTATTTGGTTTTCGTAAGATGACTTACACACCTAAACGGAGGGAGTATAAACTTTGCGTTGCATTAAGTACCCTGCAGGGATGAAAGTGCTTCCTAAGTTAAACTTAAGTGGGTTAATGAGGTCAAATTAATGAGAAACCGTGTCGTGAAAGTCTAATCTAGCGCCAGGGCTGCAGAAAAAAAAAGTTGGCTGGGCGAAGGCTATGACTCAAGGTATCGGAAGCATATTTTCTGCTCTCAAGACACACTTTTACGTTCTTTCTTCAATTTTACTCCTAATTTACAAAGGGGGTACCTACTAGACTTGGCGGGCCATTGTCCGGTTTTGTTTCAGCAAAGTTTACGTATGGTCTCCCGCAAAAAAATAAAATAACGTATGGTCTAATCTTCCAGAGATTTACGCCACCATGATTTACATTTTCATCAATTTCTCAAAAATATAGACATGAATTTTGTGTGACATACAGAACCCGGCTAGGATGAAAGTGCTTTGGATATTATACTTTAGAGGGTTAGATGAGGCTCAAAATTAATGGGAAAACTTGAACCAAGCAAATAGTCTAGCCAAGGGCTACCTTTTTCGTACCCATGACCCTATTTTAATGTGTTGTACCAGTTAATCAGTTTAATCACAATATTTAGTTCTTTAAGCAAGATGCTGATTTCTTGCAGCTATGTCAGTTTAGTGTCCTATAATTCAGTAATTTGTTTTGACAAAATCATATGCTTCTCAGCTTCTGTTTGCACTTTGACACACATACCAATTACCACCAATTCAACCAAAGTCTACATGGTAGAGCATTGCATACTCTATAGAAAACATAAACTCCTTTAAGAAAAGAAAAACAATGACATGGGTACCATATTTTATCCGGCCATACATTTTATATCTAAATTCGGACAACAATCCATTGGCCCGACAAGTATAACCAAAATACCAAAAATCTCTTGTGTGTGTTGCATCGACCACTATAACCATACCATGACGGGAATAAATATGTGAGATTATTATTCTGTGCGATGCTGCTTCAACCGTCAGTTATCGCCACTAACTCACATAAAACTGACACAAAATAACTATAACTCATTGCAAAACGCTAGTCCATTGTTCCGCCCACCTTCAGTGGCAAGCTGGTGTCTTGGGGAACAAGCGTGACAGATATTGAACTCGATGACCTTAGGTTTATTTTTTGAGCATGATAGATATACCTCTGTGCTGAAATTACTTGTTTTTGTCTTAGAGATATATGTCCTCTGTATATGGTCGACTTTAATCTTGTGACTGTTGTAGGTTGGTGCTCCATTCACTTATTATTCAGGCATATAATTTTGTTTCAAACCAAATTTTACAAAATTTGATCATCTTTATAGAAGAAATATTAACATGTACTCTCTCTGATCAAAATAAGCGTCTTAACTTTAGCAGTACAAGTTTATATTTAAAGTTAGGACAAAGTTGAGATGCCAAAGAAGTATAATACAGAAATAATAATGAACTATATCTTGCACATTGTACGGGAAGCACAGAAAACCAGAGCACTCGATACATTTTCTATGTACGCCGGCCCATGCTCGGAAACGTGAAATTGTTGGAGATGTGGTCAAGGTTAGTTAGGAATAGTTTTCCAGTAAGTTAGTTCCATGCCACATGCACCCATACATCTCGGAGAGAGTGCGCCATGCATGTGCTACATGATTGACTGGAGGCTGCACCATTGGGGGAGACACAAAACGAGGGTCGGTGCCTACCCCTAAAAAAACGAGGGTATGTATAATTGAGAGATATATTCTGTGTGCTGGACGAAGAAAAGTGGAAAGTGCTCTTCTGAGCTCGGTTGCAGATGGTATCGTTATCCCTCTCGCCCAGTCGTACTGAGATTCAAACCTGCCACGTATAAGGCCGAGGTATAACTTCTACTCCCTCCGTCCGAAAAAGCTTGTTCCAAGCTTGTTTCTCGAATGGATGTATTTAGCACTAACTTGGTGCTAGATACATTTATTTGAAAAACAAATTTTTTCGGACGAAAGAAGTATTTACCATCTTATTTCAGGGACTTGTCTTAAAAAAATATCTTATTTCAGGGACGGTGGCTGACAACTGACCATTAATAATATGATGGTCACGGACGCTGCGGGCATTGCTGGAAGCTTCTATACGGCGCGGTATGCGGTGAGAAGAGCGGCAGCGCGCACCCTCTCTCCCAGTGAGTCCGTATGGGCAAGCCTATATCCAAGCGTCCTGATTTTAAAATTTTCTTTTCTTTTCTTTTTATTTTTCTTTTTTCTTTCCATTTCAATAATTCGGGGTTACAAAAAGTTCTGAAATTTTATGAAATGTGCATTTTGAACAAAAAAAAAATCATAAATCATATTTTTTTGCAGATTTTAAAAATACTTATGAATTCAAAAAATGTTCAAAAATTTAAAAAATATTCATGTTTTAAGAGAATGTTCATGAATATGTAAAAGAAATCACGAATTTAAAAAATATTCATGAACTTTCAAAAAATGTTTGTGAATTCAAAAAATGTTCATGGATGAAGAAAATATTCATAAATTTTAAAAATGTTCCCTACTTCAAAAAATTATTCAGGACATTAAAAAATGTTCATGATTTTCAAAAAAATGTTCAGAAATTCAAGAAATATTCATGGTTTAAGAGAATGTTCATGAATCTGTAAGAAAATGATGAATTTAAAAAATATTCACGAACTTTCAAAAAATGTTTGCGAACTCAAAAATGTTCGTGGATGAAGAAAATATTCACATATTTTAAAAATGTTCCCTACTTCAAAAAATTATTCAGGAATTTCAAAAAATGTTCATGATAATCTATGAAGTAATCGACATCGAAACGCGGTTTAAGAGTATATGAAGTAATCGACATTGATTAAAAGTCTTGGGCTCCAATTAAACCAGATAAAGCATGCACGAGGTTCACGAGTGTGTGTGGATTTGTTGGCAGGGCAAGGCTCAACATTAATCTGTCGGAGTTTCGGAAGGCTGACACAAAAACGTGGCAAAGGATAGTCCGGAAGATTATGGATCACTTCAATGTTCCAAAGTAGTGGAGAATGCGGGTGGAACATGCTGCACTGAAGAAGGCCAGGTATGATTGGAGAAACTGGAAGCACGTGTTGTACAAGAAGTACTTGAGTGAAGGCAAGGACCCAATTCCCGCATGCCCCAAATTATAAAGGCATATTGGGCAGAATTCAAAAGGGTCAGGGCAACTACAGAGTTTACTCAGAAGAGTGCCAAACAATCGGAACTTCATAAGAGGAACACCCACCCACTGTATGGGTATAGCTGGATACTACGACATGAAACTGATATGGGATCAGGAGGACAAAGAAATTGTAGCTGCGGGTGGGAAACCGACCCTTTGTGAAATCAGGGGCGAACGCGCTAGAGACTACTTGCGGACACATGCTAGAAGGTGCGACAACGGAACTTATTACTTTGAAAACTCACATGACGAAGAACTGTATCGCATGATGGTAAAGGCTTCCAACATCCCTGGAAGGTTCTATAGGAACTCGGGGCCATGTGACATTATGTCTGATGCTCTGAAAACAAAAGAGCCCCCTGGCCGTGCAAGGGCTATAGGTGTCAATGTCCCGCACAAGTTGGCTTTCACACTTAGCAAAGAAGTGGGGCTCACCATGAAAAAAGTGAGGAGTGAATAGAAGCAGAATCAATTGTATGAAAGGTTGAGGAGGGACATGTATCCGAGTTTCGAAAGGAAATTGTGGAGTCACTGATGATGTAGAAGACTCTAACACTGAAATATAGCCAAGAGACGGGAGGGGAGGCAGGCATGGATGATGCTGCTTATTGCGCGACAACACCGCACAAGGGTAGCTGTGCATCAGCTGACCTAGTGACACTGAGACTGCAGTTGCGCATGATGATGCTATATTTGATCTATCGGGAATGATAGACTGACTGAGGGGCGTGCTTACACATTATGAAGGTACGTTAAAATGTGCAACAACATGGGTTCCCCGTGCCACTCGGAAGGGGCCTCTTGTTGGACAATGTGCCATTTGAAGTCAGACTGTGTGAAGTGCTACATGACTGAAAGCCTGGTGAATTTTCCCTAAAGAATTTCCTAGGGGACTATGATGAGCAGACGACCTTGGGAGAAACACTCTTACATCATATACAGTGGCAACAAAAGGAAATGGACTTCATGGATGAGATCCCTTAAGCCCTAATCAAAGCACAAGTGCTCCCTGGGTGATTTTGGTTATTAATGTCAACATATCTCTTGTTGGACTAATAGTTTTATTAAT